TTCAAGTTATTAATATCAACGAGAACTCTGAAATCCCCAAACGTGGAGAAAAATCTGTATTTCGATTATGATGCACTCTTTTCACACAATGTCCTTGAGATTACTTACGCAACACTGGACTCTTATCATCCTCCTCACTAGAATCCACTTGTCGACTATTGTAATGCCGCATATGATATTGACCAAAGGCAGCACAAGCGCCAAGGAACATTAAAATAAGCAGAAAGCTAATAAACTTCATTTTAGCGAATAACCAAACTCAAAATATTAAAGTTTTATTAAATTTTTACACTTCGAACTCTGCTCAAGGCCTTTTTCGTTTTCACAATGAACTCGGTCCGGTAAGTGCCATTCCCGCGCGTTATTCAAAACGCACTAAATTTACACGGCCCACCGAAAAATAACCGCCTTGATTCATTTGTTCATTCATAAATTGGACAAAAATTCAGAGGTACACTGTAAAAAATTAGCAAATATAAAGGCTGTTAACGAAATTGTTCTCACGATACACTGCAGGATATGTATCTATCTATAAGCTAACTTTAAGTTGATTAGGAAGAAACTAAAAGTCACTATTATCTGTATATTTTCTTTGACGAAAGCTAACTGTATTTCTATGGCGATGGCCGCGAAATAGTCGAGGGTGGTTACCTCTGCATTAGATGTAGTCTGCATTTGCGGTAACTAACTTGTAACCAACTACTTTTGGACATGAAACAAAATATTTTTTTTGTTTTTGTTTTTTTTTTTACTTTATTTATTTTATTACATTTCATATTTGTTTACATATTCAGCTGTAGGTGGACCCATATTCGAACTCCGTGAGACATAAATTCAAAATGATAATATGACATTTCGATCTTCCTTTTATTTGTCCTCAATTCGAAAAAGTATTTGCGAAGTGCAGGATATTTAAATAGAAACGCAATTAAAGAAAACTATCTCCTGCATTACTTGTCAACTAGTTTCAAGTAAGGTTTGTGTAGCTAACTACAAGCTATAAATTTTTAATGAAAATCCCTCAAAAAAGCTAACTACAAGTGGGTTATTTTTTATCAATTTATAATTTTTTTATGCAGGGTAGTGTCTACGTAACCGGAGCTGGCCAAGGACTATCACTCCAGC